TGGGTGACCTACTAGAGAAGAGGATATTTCTGTTGATGGGGCAACCCAACAGATTCCAAATTTGCATCTCTCCTTTTCACACTGGGAGTAGACAGAGTGAAGGGGCAACAGGAGGAAGAGGCGGGAGGGGGATGATGGAAAAAGTGGGAGAAAGGACCAGAACTCAGGGTGGGGTTCTCCACCAGGGAGTGTCTGGAAGTCCCGGGTCAGGCGCAGGTGCAACTCTAGAGAGGTGTTGTAGTCACATGGCTTCCTTCTCTCTCTGGGAGCATCTGCTGAGCTTCATTTCTGTCAGTTGGATATACCGAATCACGTTGGTGTCTGTGAGGAGAGAAACACACCTTAGGGAACACTTGGTGAGGGGAACTATTGGGCCTACAAAGAACCAGGCCAAATCTGCGTCTGCCAGACTCACTCAGCCAAGGCCCATGGTGACTGAGAGGGCAACCAGGATGCTGGCTTTCTCCTTGACTGCCTCCCCATAGCAAATGTAGACAAGTCACCCTGACCTGGCGGTCAGATGGGAAGGAGAGCAGAAGAGAAAGAATTTCTCCCTTTATGTCCATGCAACGTCAAATCCCCGTGGTCCTGAGTCAGCACAGTTAGTTGAGGTTCTGTTTAGAGTTTTAACCTCAGGTAAGTAACCAACTTCTTCAGCCTTACGTTTTGTGTGAAAGAAACAACCTCCATTTTTGAATGCCTACTTTGTGTCACATTTTTAACCTTCATTAACTCATTTAATCTCCATTATAATTCTGCAAGGTATGTAGCATCATCCTCAAGTGACAAAAGGGAAAACTTGGTCCCAGAGAGGTTAAGTAAGATGCCCAAGGAGACACATAGTAGGTAGTATGTCTGACTACAAAGCCTGCCTCTCCTGGGGATCATAATACCTTCCTCATGAAATTGTTGTGAGGACCAAAATAGGTTAGTCTAAAAGTGCTTAATCCAATGATCAACAAATATTCATTGAATGTAATTTTTTAGAATTGAAGAGTTTAAAATCACTTTGGTTCATCCTCTTATTTTTGTCCTTATAAGCAGAGTCGGACAACCACCTCACCACAAAATGAGGAATTTTCCCCAATCCTGCTACTTAAAGTAGCAAGTGGAGTGTGACGTGAAACAGCTGCTTAGCTCTGCACACATCAGAATATCGGAGTTACAGGGCCGCCTGAGATATTTACTTCCAGATGTAGAAATCAATGCTGTAGAATAGTCAACAATGCCAGGCATAACATCCAGAACAGTGCTGGCATATAGTAATGTTCAAGAAAATTCTGTTGAATGAGCCCAGTTATTAGTTCTCAAGTTGCTTACAGTATAGTTGGGGGACCCTGACTGATATACAGAAAACAAATCAACACATGAAAATAAAGATATTGGTGTTCTTAAAAAAAAAAAAAAATCAAGTCAAAATCATTGTTGAAACGTTACCTCTTCAGAGAGGCTCTTTCTTACTACCAGGTCTACAATAGCACGCCATTTACTCTTGATCATCTTACTCTGTTTATTTTCTTTATCGCATTTCCCTCTTCTAAATATTATATTATCTATTTGTCCATTTGTTTACTGATCATCTTCCTCCATTATAACATAAAATCCTTGAAGGTAGCAACTGTTTTGTTCACTGGTATCTACCCAGCACCTAGATGAGTTCCTGGGCCACTGTAACTGCTCAATAAATATCTGTGGAACGAGTAAATGGCTGAGATAACGAATAAGAATTTAACTGAATGATACAGATACTGCATGCTCTAAGGAATGGGATCTGACTGGAGAAGAGGGAATGGGATGCTTCCTGGAAGATGCTGGGCTTAGCACTAAAATTATTCATTTGTATTCTGTCTTGCCAACCAGAGTGCGAGCTCCTCAAAAGTAGGGGCCATGTCTTCTTATCTGCATGCCCGGTGTCCAGCACAAATCTTGATACATACAAAGAGTTCAATATGGATTTATTAAGCTGGGTTTTGGGTTGGAAAAGACAAAGAATGCAATATTTATTTGAAGAGAAGAGTTCCCTGGAACCCAGACCTCAGGCAAATACATAGACTTTGCTCTCCTTATCCGAGGTCTTAGCACCCATTTGACCCATAATTTTCCATTTCTGTGCCTGCCTGGCCCTGCACCATGAAAGCTGTCCACTACAATGAGAAGGCCTTAGGAGCTGCTCAAAGGGTCTGACAGTAAAAAAAAAATCAATCGCTGCCTTACCTGTTGGCTGTCGGGTCCTTGCTTCTTTCAGGTAGTAGAGTGCTTTGTCATAGTCTCCAAGGTGGTAGAAGGCCACACCAGACCGATAAAGGGCCTTGAAGTTCTCCCCTTCCTTCTTCAGGACTTTGAGGCAATACTCCTTGACTCGTTCATAGTTTACCAGCTCAGCCTGGAGCAGGCAGGCTATACAAGAGAGAAGGATGGGAAAATGCCATCAACACAACAGTGGCAGTCTCTGAATGTCTCTCTTTGGTTCTTCCCATCTAGAGAAGGTTTAGGAGTGTTAGGGCTTTACATGGGAGTTTATGCTGTGGAATTTGTCATTAGCTAATTCTGAGTTCTAGGACCCAGTTTCATCACCAACAAACTGGGTAACCTTAAGTTACTTAGCCTTGTATTATAGGTTAAATTGTGCCACTCCCAAATATATGTAGGATTCTGAACCCACAATACCTCAGAATGTGAACTAATTTGGAAATGTGGTCTTTACAAAAGTAATCAAGTTGAAAAGAGGTCTTTAAAGTGGGCTCTAATCCAGTATTACTGGTGTCCTTATAAAAGGATACTACAGACTGAATGTTTGTGTTTCCCCAAAATTCATACGTTGAAAACAAATTTCCAATGTGATGGTATTTGGAAATGGGGCTTTTGGGAGGTGACTAAGTTGTGAGGGTGGGGCCCTCATGACTGAGATTAGTGCTCTAGTAAAAGAGACCCCAGAGAGCTCCTTCACCCTTTCTACCATGTGAAGACAGTGAGAAGATGGCCATCTAAGAATCAGGAAGCAGGTCCTCCCCAGACACACAATCTTCCAGTGTTTTGATCTTGGATTTTTCAGCCTCTAGAACAGTGACGAATAAGAGGTTGTTGCTTGAGCCACCTAGTCTATGGTATTTTTATTTTAGCGGCTAAATGGATTAAGTTTAAAAGGGGAAGTTTGGACACTGAGACAGACGCACAAAGGTGCCATGTAAAGAGATATAGGGGGAAGATGGCCGTCTATAAGCCAATAAACGCCAGAAGTTAGGAGAGAAGCTTGAAACAGATTCTTCCTCACAGCTCACAGAAAAACCAACCCTACAAGCGTTTTGATCGTGGACTCCTAGCTTCCAGAACTGTGCGGCAACACATTTCTATTGTTTAAGTCACCAGCTTATGAGACTTTCGTTGTGGCAGCCCTAGGAATAAGCTAAAGAGGCAAGCACAACGCCAACCATGGCTGATATTCGTCTGGTGCTTACCTTATGCTGGGCACTTGTCTCATCGCTTTACTTGTGTTACCTGGTATAATCCTTGGAATACTATGGTGTAGGTCCTATTATTATTCCCATTTTACAGGTGAGGAAGCTGAGACCCAGAGAGGTTAAATACTTTCCCAAGGTTCAACAATATGAAAGAGGCAAGGCTGAGATTTAAATCTATGCTGGCTGGCTCCAGAGACCAAGTTCTTTATTGAGTTATTGAGAAGACTATATAAAATAATAACCATAAAGTATTTAACACAGGATTTGGCACATAGTAAGTACCCAAAGTGTTATTTAAGATTATAATTCTTTTCAGCCCCTGCACCACTGCAGTGACAACTGCCTCTGACTTTCTTCAAGTTCTCTTTCATACTTGTTTGTCTCTGCAGTTCCTGGGAGTAGGGGCCTTCTGATGAGCTAATACCCAGCCTCATTCAGGGCACACCTGTCAACATGATAAGCCTGAGTGTCCCAGACAAGGGGAAGCTAAGCCTGGCAAGTGCCTATGGTGGGGCCCCTTCCTATTCCACAGTCAACCATCTCTGCGGAAACTGTCTCTGCTTGAAGCTTTCTCACACCAGCCATCAGCCATAGCACCAGGCCCAGGGTGAGGATGCTTGTATGACCCTGCAGAGTGAGCACCTCCTGAAACTCGGTGCTCTGGTTGCCTCACTTGCCTCACTGTAATCCCAACCCTGCTGAGCTACCTCTGCCTCCATTCGATCACTAAAATAGTAGGTATCGATTAAGAGCGAAGAAGTGCGTTACACACCTTGGAGAGATTATCCAAAAAAAAAAAAGGAAAAAGAGACACCAGTCTGCTTCTTCAAAGCAAATAAAAACAGAAGGCATAACTGCTGCTTCCCACCAAGACCAGGCTGGGGGTGGTGGGAGAGAATGCCAGTGAGCTGCTCCTTTGGGCCAAGGTTTCTCCCACATTGGAAGAACCATCCTCAGAAAGAGGCAAGTCACTGATTTTAATCTTTGGAGGTCTAACCTCAGCTGTTTTTATCCCTTAAATAACTTCCCTGGGATCAGAATGGCTAACTAAGAGATCAGACCTTTCATTGGGCATTGTGAACAAAACAAAACAAAACAAAACAAAACAAAACACATTCTTTTGCAGAGTGAGAGAGAGGGTGGTGAATCATAGTTTTTTCAAGTTTGAAGGTGTGAGAACCAGGAAGTGGAAGATAATCAACCTAGATCTAGAAACTGACCTGTCAGGTTTCATTGGCCACAGGGCAGAAAGCCAAACAAGTTGACCAAAGCAACCGGCTGCGAACCCCATGGGCCTAGGTATAGGTAGCTGTGGTCACAGAGGATCTCTATCTGCTGACATGCCAGGGAGCCATCCGCTGAGCTGATGCCCTTAGCCCTCCTCCCATCTCCTCCTCCAGCTGTGGAGTCTGAGGCCCTGCTGTCCCCTCCTACCCCCGTGCTGTTTGCATCTGTCCTAGTGCTTACGCAGCTCTGCAGATGAGGAGGGGTTTCTGTCAAGAGATACCCAAGCATGAACCTCTGGCTGTTACCTGTGTGGGACTTGGCTTCAACATCTGCTCCCAGAACTATAGGGTGTCCTATCTGTAGCTTCCATCCACGTGCCCCATCTACTGTTCTCTCGGCCCAGACCGAGTGGCCCTCTTCCCATTCAGCCCTCCATCTTCACACACTTCTGTCTGTTGACCTGAGCAGCTTAGGAAACGGACCTTTGTGTTCTTTTTTTTTTTTGAACAGTTTTTGAACATCTAAAATGGGGGTGGGGGAGAGCAAAGAGGCCTGGAAATGGAAAAGATCTCTCAATCAATTTCTGGGACTCTTTCGGTGAAGATGTTTTGAATTCCCTTGGTGGAAACTGATACCTGGCGTGGACCAGGGCTCGGATACAAAGACCAGGTTAATAACATTTCTTTCAAAAGAGTTTCTAGGTACGGTTGTCTTAGAGCCCAGGCCCATCTTTAAGTGTCCGCTGTGGGCGTGTCTCCCCACACTGCACCCCTTTTGCCATTGAATGACTGCATCTTTGAATCCAAATATATACTCAGAATTGAGGCAATAGATGGGAATGAGCTCCTTCTTTGTCCAGCTGAGACCTTCCTCCTAAAGTCCACAGTCTCTGCTGCTGAGACTGACTGACCTGACAGTGCTTATTCCCTTCAGGAAAGATCCTGCCCCAGAGCCTTGCCTGGGAAGACCACATCAGAACATAATCCAATCTCTATGCAAAAACAAACAAACAAACAAAACCCTCCAGATAGCAGGAGAATTGCCTGACAAAACCCCTCTTATCACTGCCTTACCAGTTCTGATTGTCGTTCTCAACAGAAGCCACCTCACCATGAGTAATAGAAAGAACAGAATTCCTTTTGAAGGAACCAGTGAAACAATTTCACCCTTTGATTAGGTGGCAAATGTTGTATTCATAGGCTGTTAGATCGAAACTATTTAGTAAAGTGCAGGCCCCTTGTTTTACAGGTAGGAAACTGAGGCCCAGAAAGGGAAAGTGATTTCCCTAATGTTGGCTAGTGGCAAAGGCGGGACTGGGATCCAGCAATTCTGAGTCCCAGCTCACTACTCTTTGAAATATTTATCCAGACTGTATAGCAGAACACAGAAACTGTTATATTATAAACCTTAATCCAAATAGAGACCAGGTTACAACAATGTGATTGAATAGTCCTGGAGCATCAATGAATCCACAATGACAATCTAAGACCTCCTGGATGAAGGGCTCTACCCACATTAATGTAACATTAGAAAGAAAATATATTAGGGGTTCTCTAATGTTTATCACTTCTATCTCCTGAATGCCACTTAAATTAATCTCTTTCTCCTGTCTCTACTTGAGTCCACGTAGTCACTATCATTTCATCACCCAAATCCACTCTTGCCTTAAGAATAAAGTCCTAGATCCTCAAAATGGACAATAAGGGTCTGTGTATCCTGGTTTCATCTTGCTCTCTCTTGGCTCTGCCTAGAACGCTTTCTCCTTTCCACCTACATCAGTGGTTCTCAAACTCGTGGGATTTCATGCCCCAAGGGATATTTGGCAATATCTGGAGACAATTTTTGGTTGTCGCAGATGGCATCTTACTGGGTAGAAGCCAGAGACATTGCTAAACATTGTACAATGACCAGGACATCCCCTCATAACAAAAAATTATCCAGCCTAAAATGTTCATAGTGCTGAGGTTGAAAAAGCACTCAGTCTTTGGAAACCATCTTAAATACCACTTCTTCCGAGAAGCCCTCCCATGAGATTTTATACTAGTTGAAGTCCACCCCCCAACTTATGCCTTCTCCTTTACAATACTTGGCACATGGGAGTATCTGTGAAAAAGTAACATCACAAAGCTAATAAGTGTCTTCCCCACCGGTCCATCAGCTCCAGGATGGAGTGGAGTGTTTGGTTCATCACCTGATCCCAGTGCCCTGTATGTGCCAAATGTAGTTAGGCATCACTTTTTGCCTTAATGACCTTGGAACACAAAAAAAAGGTAGTTTACTCAGGTGACCTGTCTTTTACCAGGAGTTGCATGGGTTTCCAAGGGCTTCAAATACAGACCCGCAGAGGACCCATGGTTAAGAACACAGTCTTGGTAGTCTGGAAGTAGTAGGTGGATATCATAATTCTACTACCTCTTAGCTGAGTGACAAGCTCAGGAGAATCTAGCCCAGCACCTGTAGGCAGCATTCCATTCTCCCAGAGGGTAATAAGAGTAAGAGCTGGTAACTTTTATTAAGCATGAGTAGGCCAGGCACTGTTCTAAGCATCAATTTTAACAACAACCTATGAGGTAGGTTCCAGTATTTTGCCCACTTTCCAGATGGGAAAACTAAGGACCAAGGAAGTTCTGTCTCTTGCTCAAGGTCACAAAGCTAAGTGTCAGGGCCAGGATGTGAACCTAAGCCATCTGGCACCTGAAACTGTGCTCTTAA